ATATCCACAAAAACCCTTCAAATATTTATAACCTCAAAAGTTAGAAATCAGTTAACTTCAAGCACTTCAGACTAATATTGTTGAATGATTTATTTTAATATTATACTCACGAATGGGAAATGTTCAAATTTATAAATTTATTTGGATAATTCAGAGTAATTCTCAACAATATTTATCAGTTATCCCACGGAAGAGTCACAAATTAAGACTAAATAGGTGTCCAGTGTTTTCTTCTTCTCAATGATTGTTTTGTCTAACTATGATAAGTTCGTGATGTAATCTAATTAAAAAAATTAACAATTTTCATCAACCCCTTTAACTTAGCAAAATGGATTAATAAATAAATCATGAGTATGATTTGATAATATTAGGTGTTTAGTGGACTAGTTATTAAATACAACTACAAAACAAGCCATCATGCTGTAATGTATCAAACAGATTGTTAAAGATCATTATAAATGAGAATAGGAAGTAATAACGATAACAACAATAATAATTGTGATAGTAATTGACTGAATACAATTAATTAAATCAGTGAAATTTTTGGGATTTAATAAATCAGGAAGATTCGGTAGATGACAAAAGAAACAAAAGATTAGAAAATATAGAAATATGTAGGAAGGGAAGACAACTCCACATACAAGTGATTGCATTTTCAGGTTGCTTGAAGTAAATATGAAACCCTGCAGAAAACTTAAAATACATAAGTTACCTAGGAATATCATCCTTATGAATGTTTGGAAATGAATTTGTAGCAGCGATTTTAAAAACTGATCGTCAAAATTAGCATGAAAGACCTTTATATGTATAGTTAAACAATTCGGCTCAAAGGGAGAACAGACCCGAAATATATACAGAAAATAAGCTCTGGGAATTTGCCAGTTCATACGAAATCCGAACATTTAAAATCGACGTTCCCAGACCCTCATTTCGTCGCTATCTCGAAATAATCATAAGCGCCTTCTTATTTTAGGTGTTTCAATCTACCTTTCCATATTCACCTTTACTGAAAGTTTTAATTTGAAATCTTTCTTGCTTCCTTGTTCTATTTTCACCTTACTACTTCATATTACCCATTGGAATATGAATAATCTTGTTTGATGCTTTGAAACACTCAAACACTTCATAAATGACCCAGTATCAGTTCTATGACAGGCTTACGCATTCTAACTAACTTAATGAGATTGTATAGTTTCAGTAAACAGTGTTATTGAAAGGGAAGTTACCTTCATTGACTTATCATTATACCTTATAATAAAAAATATTAAATACTAATTTTAATGGTTCTTCAGTAGTTTATTGGCTAACATTATTTTGTAACGACACTGACTTAAGAATGAAGTGAAAGAGAAACAAAAGCACTAGAACCAAACACATAGATATAATTAAATATTTTAGTTTTAGTAAATAATTTATATGAAGTATAGTTTAACTCAGCACATCGTTTGCTATAAAGCAGGTTGTTGAGTTTATTTACAACAATGTCGAGAAGAATATATTTAACTGAAAAGCTGTTAGCTGAGCAAAACTAACTATTCAAATATTATCATTCTATGATTCTAGAATAAATCACCTACATTCAAGATAACTGACTCGCTTACTTACTTACTTACACACTTATTTACCTACCTACATACCTAATTACTTATTTACATATTTACTTACGCCTGTTACCCTTCGTGGAGGATCATAGGTCACCCACCGGCATTCTCCAGCCAATTCTGTCAAGGACAATCCTTCCCAGTTGTCTCCAGTCGACGTCCATCCTTTTCATATCTGCTTCCGATTCCCGATGCAGTGTGTTCCTTCATCTTTCTCTTTTACTTTCCCCATCAGGATGTCAAATAAGGGCTTCATTATGCATTCTGCCGTTTTTCGTAATGTATTTCCCATCCACTTCCAGCGTCTTTTCCTAATCACAATTGATTGATCACTGGGTGGTGATCATTGTCATGTGTGTCAAGTCCTTCTTTTAGTGTTGATCAAATGCTATCGATCAAGTTGCAATGTGGCCACCAGTCTAGGTGGCTCGACACTGCGTGCACTATATATATTGGGATAAGATGGTGGTTTGAGGTGGTCAACAGGGAACCCTGGACCCGGGTTTCCCGTTGATCACCTCAAATCACCATCTTGTCTTTTCCTAATTTCATTCATGAAAAGCTCCCAAGAAATTGGTAATATCTAGGCATGAACTGTGTGTTTAGATAAAAAAATAGTTAATTTACTTTTAGAAAAGACAATAATAATTTACTGACAAATTTTATCCCTTAATACTCCGCTGGGAAGAGATTAAAATGATTTTTTCCGGTGGGAAGTTTTATATTAAATTACACACTAGAATGCGGATTTATTCAACTGATGGATCATACATTTGAAAAGGCACTTGTCCTGTATTTCACTGCTCCAAATCCATTATAAAACAGTATTGTCTAACGGAGACATTTCTCTGTAAAAAAAAGAAAACTGATCAGTGTCGTTAGAATTTTCATAAACTTTATAGTTCCAGGAACTCGGACTTTAGCCCTTCTAATGTAACTGTCGTTTGCCTATCGAGATAAAAGAAGAGGGTTGAACTTGCGTTCAGAAACCGCATCCGTGGAAACCAACCTTGCTAAACCACACTAATCAGAATAGATAATTCGAACATTTTTACTCTGCCCTCGAAGTTGAAGGATGTACAATCAGAAAAATTGTGAAGCCTCATGGTTAAAACCGAGACTCTGCTCAAGTCACGAGGATGATACTTCTTTTAACAACGTGAACAACAATTACCATGAGTACATGAGATGTCCACATAATAAGGGAGACCATGAAGATCATTCGATTAGCTGCAAAAATGATGAGATACAGATTGATGTTTCCACAAATAAGTGAAATCCATTACACCAAAGCTGGACACAAAAGTTTGGATTCTGTAGAGGTGCTATCGTATTCTGATCATGAAAAAGAAAATACCTACCATACACAAAGAGCCGCACTGATACTGTACAGAGAAGCACAAAAAGCAACTACAGGATGGGAATATCATGGATGCAGAATCAGCAAATCATACTTCAAAACATAGAACGAGGGAATCACCATCAACGTCCAATCTTATGCACCCAATAATAATAGCAGTAAAGACGATAAAGTTCAGTATAACGAGAGGCCGCAAACAATCATAGAGAAGTGTCTAGTAAACAACCTGACAATCGTGACGGGAGAACTAAACACCAAGGTCGAATGGACAACATCGGGTATGTGGATATCACCGGACAACATGAACTGACTGTGAGAATGGAACGATAATAGTGATGGATTTGATAATCTATATGTTTTCAACAAAATGATTATAGGTGGCACTATATTCTTTCACAAACACATAGAGAAGCTACATATAACACTGAACAGATCGATCACATTCTCATCAATATAGAATATAGAATATATAGAATACTCATGGAAAACGTGAGAACAAAGAGAGGAGTATATATATATATATATATATATATATATATATATATATATATATATATAGATTCAAATCGCCACCTGGATGTTGCCAACATAAAATCGAAGTTAAATGAGCTGTGAACTTCTGAAGAAACAGTGTTACGATTGTTCAATACACTCTTCCTTCGGAATACTGACAAACTCAACGAATCCAACATAACTCTCAAAAACATGTTCCAAGCATTACAACATCTACCCGAAGAAGCTGAGGAGATCATCAACATCATTTGCAATTCATTGGATGAATTATACTACAATAATGTTCATGGAGGACAGCTCACAAATGCATTGCAAGTGAAGATCGGTGTCAGACAAGACTGCCTCATTTCATTCTCTCTATCTCGTCTGATGGTCAACCAGATTATATAGGTTTACACATTTGTTGGAATCACGGAATACATTGAACAGCCTGGATGCGATTAGACGATTCGGACTTGGCAGATGACATAGCTGTTATATTCAGTACACAGTAACAAGAACAAGTGGAAACAGTCGATATAGCAGAAGCCTCTTCTTCAGTCGTCCTCAACATACACAAGTTAAAAGCACGATCCCCAAATGCAGCACGGAGATTACAAACATAGTCACACTAGGTGGACAAGCTCTGGAAGATATGGAATCTTCCAAATACCTGAGAAGTACCATCGATGAAGAAGCAGGATCTGATTCAGACGTAAATGCGAGGATCGGAAAAGTAAGTGCCGCACTCTTACAATTGAAGAACATATGGAACTCAAAACGATGTTCAGTAAATACCAAAGTGATAATCTTCAGTACGAACATCAAGACAGTTCTGTTGTGCGGAGTTGAATCTTGGAGTACCACTACAATCATGATCAAAAAGGTACAAGTACTTATAAACGATTGTCCACACAAAATTCTGAATGCCTGTTCACCGTATATTATCAGCAACGGTCTACTGTGGAAGAGAACAAAGCAGGTTGCAATTGAAATGGAAGTTGAGGAAAGTCGCTGGAAGTGGATAGAACTTACGTTACGAGAATCATCAAACCGAATCAGAAGTCCTAACTTGGAATCATGAAGGGAAAAGTATAAGTTGGAGACCAAGCAATACATAGCGTCGGGACTTGGAGTCAGATATGGAAAGAATGAGTAGCAAATGGCAGTAATCGAAAAGGAGAACCTTGAAAAATATATGTGTGATAATACTGGTCGATGGTTTATAATGCATGTGTGTTAAAACGCCTAGGTAATTACATTATATTTCCAGGACTGCAACTGGAAGCCGAGACTTTTCTGTAAGTAGTTTATTATTAAGGAAAATAAAAAAGGTAATGGATTTACAGATCTCTAAAGCCAAGTCTCTTCCTCCTATTTACCCATCTGAAAGTACGCCTAAAGCGTCAGTGCGTTTCTCAGCTGACTGAATGTGAGTGAAATTACAATGCATACACCAGATATCATGTGCATGGGTCTAGAAGATATGTCAGGGATTAGCTGGAATTTATAATATGCTGTGTTTCGGAAAGAAAAGGTTGGTTTAAATGGAATTAAATAAAGTATTAAACAATGAAGTATGGGAAAACCATTTAGATGTAGAATTGATACCGTAATCGCATGAGGTTACATAAAGTTCTGTAGGTAGGTAAATAAGTAAATAAAACACAAACTACTGTTAATTTGTTAGTAGCACAAAAACCAATCACTAAAACAACCGAAGAGGGATTAATGTTAGCTTCTAAAAAACCAGTTCATAGTAATATTCTTGCAATATTTTTTATTTTAACAGGCTGTTCTGCTCAACATTAGCGGTGCCTTGAGGAGAATTTTTTCTCGACATTCCGGTTGCTGAAACATGTTCACTCATATCTGATATGTAGATAGATGCTTCTTACAACTTTACACGAGTTCTTTCACTTATTTTAAGTAGAAAATCATTGTGATAAATTTCACATCACTGGCATAATTTGTGGTAAAAACTAAAATAAGTGACAGTTATTGAGACTACAAAGACCACTGATTACTGTTTACTAAAATTTTCTACAAAGGACCTAATAAAATAAGCAATGCATTAAAAATCTCAAATCTTTAATATCTGTACGAACTTATCAATCCTCAAATATCTACTTATAGAAATGGATCATGTCCACTTTTGTCGTTGAATTAAATAGTAGTGTGGTCTGTACTTCAAACGATTAAAAACCAGGTTCTGAAAAACTGATTAATCTAAATGTGAAACCGAAATCCAATAATAACTCATCAGTAGCTTCCTTGATAATACTATTTACCGTGGATAAAATTTTTCTCACTAGCTAATTGCAGGAACCCGGACTCGTGAGATTCTGCTTTTAATTTTCGTTTGATTACATTGGAAATATTTTGTTGCTTGGAGTTATCTTAATAGAAAATGTACTCTGTTGTTGAGTAAATCAGCACAAATCGTTCATTTTGCGTTGCAATTTTAGGTTCGTTCACACTGTAATAGAGAGCAGTATTTCCCTCAGTAATAATTCTCCAGTCACAGTTTAGTTGTTATTTTGACATTCTGAGTTTAGTTTAAAAATAATGTTCAGAAGATTAGAACCAAACATATATTTTTTGCTTCTTACGTCATCAGTGCTTATCCGTCATTATTATCGTATTAGTTGGCTCTATTGATTCATGAACAGAGTTGCAATCGAAGGACTCAATATCGTTCGTTTCTAGTTAAACTTGCAAAAGAGTCAAATATTCGGCCATAGAAAACCACAATTAAGCAATATCTGTGAAAATCTCTACAAATGTCCTTGGTTTTTTACTGAAGACTATTTAATTGTAGTTGAAATATGACATTTTGCAGATCTTTTCAAACTTATGTCAGAACCCTACTGAGGATATCAGCCGTTAATTTGAAATTTAAAACAATATTTTTCACTAGACATCATTACAATGTCATGCTTTATTCTTATCCAATTTGTGTTCTTTTTTACTGTATTTTCAGTATACTTGTTTAATCTAAGTAAGCGAATTCAGTTTTCCATGTTATTTAATCCTGTTTTGTGCAAGTTGTTTTACTTTATACTTAAGGAAGTATATGTTTAGTCGATGTGAACTTCCATAATATCACTCAACTCTATCATTGTTGTTATTAAGATATCAAGGAATTAGTTATTGTTATTTCGCATTCTTCCATGATTAGAGTAAGGACTATAAATTACTGTTGTCTGAATGCTTGATGTTACTGAATTCTTGTAGAAAGTTTTAAATATATACACTATTTTTAAGTTACCGAATTTCCGTAAACCAAACTGAATCAGTTTTACGTTTGGAAATATTAAAGTTAGCGGTTATTCTTTTTGCAGGCTATTAGAGGAAAGTGTTTTAACGACTGTATAAACCTATTTCGCTTTGTACAAAATAAATCTTTCAAATGTGAAATTAAAACGTTGATTTGTTAAAATAGTTCAATAAACTCAATATATATCAACGTAAAGGAACGTGATGGAAGATAAATTAAAGATATCAAACAGTGACATGCTGAAGTTCATCAATAAGCTCAAGACTATCACACTACACTAACTACAATTTTGATGTTAATAAAGGATATTTAACAGTAATTAATCCATTCTTGAAGTTGTACAGTTGCAAATACATACTTTTTGCGCAGTATTTTATAATGAACTGAACTAAAGGGAATTTGTTCATTTAACTGTTCTTTCCTATTTTTGGTAAGGAATTTGCCATAGCTGACTACTAACACAGATCATAGATGTATTTGATTAGGTTACATACTGTAAATATTTAGATCTAAAGTTGTGATCTTTCAAACTTGTTGATTAAACATTTTGATACCTGCTAGGAAACAGCATTCAATGTGAGTTCAAGAGAAAAAACGATTGTCAGACGTTATTGTCTAAATAAATGAAGGAAAGTCATAGTGATTTGTACTCAAATGAAAACATTTACTTGGTCAAATCGAATTGGGTTGTCATGATATTAAGGGCTTGCTAATTCTACTGATTTTAAGAGATAGTGGATGATTAATTTGAAAATTGAGTTACTTAACGAAAGCGTATGAACCAAAGAGACTGAAATGATCAGGTCGAGAATAATGGCTCATGATTCAAATAAAGTGGAATGGCGGCTATCAGTGTTAAATTATAGAAACACACAACTAGTCCAATAACTTAAGAAAATGTATGTGAAGTGACTACAACTTCATAAATAATCGGTCTACGTTTTTATTGTATTTAATTATATGATGCATTCATCCACCGAAGTTATATATATATATATATATATATAAACTTTTGGCTTCATATCCGAGAAAGATAACAGCAATATTCTGTAAATAAAAAACTGTCAACGTATAACTTAATTTCAGCTTTCGGTTAGTTGAATGATAGAAAATATTTTTCACAGAAGATAGATATTTTAAATTGACGTAGTTAAATGCTTTTAAGTGTAGAATTATAAACAACTTCACATCTCTATGAGCTAGATCAAATATCAGTGTAAACATGTGTTCATCCAGAAACTTAACTGCCATTATTAACAATAACATGAAACCATAGAATGATCTAGAAAGTCAAGAATTACCTCCCCTCAATGCAAAATGAGTATTTATCATTTAAAATCTACTTCACATATGGTCAAAACGCTTATAAGAATTTAGTGGTAAACAAATTGTAAAAAAATTGTAATGACTCAACAAAACAAACGAATGAACTAAAGTGTAAAAAATATTAAAACGAAAAAAATAAAATATTTCAAGAAATAGATGTTATAACTTCTCTAAGACCCTAAAAATCAGTCAACGCCAATTCATTAGCGAACATACGATTAATGTTGGGTTCAGTATGAAGAAAATCATATTCATACATTTACATTTCCCAGATAACTGTTCAAAACAAAGTGGCAATGAATACTATGCGGACTATTCGATGAATTCTACCGCTCTGGTAACAGTTAGCGATGGTCATGCAATACTGTAGAGTGACTGAATGTAATTCAATTCATTACTCTGAGGTTGCCCTGTCTGCTTTAATACCTGATGCAAACCCTGGGTTCCTTCCTAGATGATATCTTAAATGAGCACTATTCGGGATCGAAGATCATTTCGAGGATGCACATACTAGTACAAAACGACTTTACAGTCAGAGATGTAAACTATAAAGATCTTTAATTGTTTTTAGTTTTTCCGTAATTTACCCTTTCAAACCTCTTATAACTGAATTTTTAAAAAATTTGATTATTCAGTAGTCATGTTAGTTCGGAACAATGTCGTTTATTAGCAACTCATTTACAAAATCATCGAACACTGAAACGTTTAGATTTATCTCATGATGCTATTGGTTATCGTGGTATGTGTGCATTGAGTAAATTATTAACTGTAAAGTGTCAGATTAAATCATTGAATTTAACAAATAATCGTTTGAAATCCACGAGTGGTTTAGCTTTAGCCTATACCCTTTCACAATCAGATTGTCTTCTGGTACAATTGAATTTGCGCATTGATAAATTACAAGATGATGGGGGTATTGCTTTGGTGAAATTGAGTTTCTTATAAAACGTCTATGGTATCTTTCACTTATATTTGTGATAGTTTTTATTTTTTTCATTGTTGATGTTAAAGACTTCAACTGGTAGGGTTTGTTGGCAGAAATCCCTCCTTAGTAAACCCATTCAGTTTCTTCATTGAATCACATTCTTAATTAACATTTATTCGATGTGACGCTTTTCTTCCTATTTCTTTAGGCCGATATATCTTCATCCTAGTGTTAATGTTTATACAGACTCGAAATCAGTACACCTTGCATTTCAAATAACAACACGTTTTCCATTAAGTTACTCAGCTCAGACGTGTGATGTTTTCCATTTTGGTTTGATTATTAAATGATTTGGAAGCCATCGTCAGGAAGCTCTCAACTTAGTTCTCATATCAAAGATTAGAAAAATTCATTAGGATTATATTAATCACTGTAAAAAAAAGACCATTGTAATGACTTAACAAAACAAACGAATGAACTAAAAGTGAAAAAAGATATTAAACCAAAAAGGAAAATCAGTTATTTCAAGAAATAGATGCTTATATTGTTATATTGAATTTTGAACAAGTTAATTTATTTAATAATAATAATAATAATAATAACTCCTAGTAACTTATACCTAAACCTTTTTGTATAACTGATATATATTGTTGTCAAGGTATTACACGTTTTATTAATTACTATTAGTGTTATTGTTTGGTTGTTTGTTTGTAAAGAGTAAAATAAGTTGACTTATCTTGAACTTTAAAAAAAAAATGAAATTGAAAGTTGATAAGTTTTTGTGTTTTTTTTTGAAAATTTTGTTCTAAATCTTTAATCAATATGGAATATAACATATATTTATTGATAATAGTAGTATATCATTTTCTTTTAACGTGATGTAGTATTGAATTGGGTGAAATATTGGCCAGTTGGTTGGTTAGTATACAGCTAAAAAATGATGAATAATTTGGTTAAAACAAATTTGATAGTAATTACATAATGAATATTAAAGCATATATTATGAAAAGATAATTAACCATCACAGCAATGAACAATGATTTCATTTTGTTTGAAACTTCTCAGTGATATATTTCTATGATTTTATGGAAAGTCAAACCTATGGCTTTAGCTGTATAATTTTAGATTATGAAGTTGATATTACATGATCTATATAGGCAACTTTAATCATTTTATGTTATAAAACGATCTTTATCTTAAAACTAAGCGAGTATCCATGAAACACTCAAATTATCGTTAAAAAAGATTTTTATTTTGTATTAAGAATGATCTATGAGTAACCAGAAATATGTCTGTATGGAAATCCTTCTACTGTTCATATTCTTCCAGCAATAGATTTCAACACTTTATCAACTTTTTTTAAAAATGAGGCTAATCTGAGGAACGAGACTTAGTGAAAAGTTTTCAAGCTTATTCATAGTTTTTGTTATTTTTTCAATAATCATGATAAAATGAGACAATTGAAGATTATCATCCAAACATATTAGCCTCATGAATACTTGGCACAAATTTTTTAGATGGATAAAAGATGTACTAGTAAAATAACATTTCAACCGCGTAACACAAAGCCTTTAATCAGAGAGCAGGATCACTTTTTGAGACTCAAAAAAGAAGTCTATGTTTCATGGTATGGCTCAGACTGGGAGTCAGTCATTTCACCGATAAGTGCCTTATGTTTTTTGGTCAGCAGAAGTTTTTTTTAACTGATTAATATGCTAATAATCAAAACAAAAAGCAAATCATTTTGATAGTTACTTAGGTAACCACAGATAAAAATAATCTCATTATCAATGTTTTATAACTCTTAATTGAAGGGAAGATAATCCTATGTGCATTAAAAACGACTTCAAAACTTACTTCTCTGTTCAAGTAATCTTGAAAAGATTTCTGTTCGTGAGCTAGTTGAAGATTTTTTTCAGCCACTTTTCGATTTATTTCACGTGTGGAGCGTTCAATTTCTCTTTCTATCAACAAGCCTAGTCTAGCTGATTTTAATAGTTGATTATCCCATTCTTCATCCCCTTGCTTTCCTCTTGCTAACTGACGCTTCAGTAAACAAATAAATAAATATAAGAAATTTTTATTGGACGTAAGTGTAATTTCTTGAGTACTGTTTGGCAACAACCTGTTTGTAAACCGATAACTTTCAGGAAACGGTGATGTTTCATGTAAAAACTCGACTGCGAATCCATAACAAATGTAATAAATTTAAAGTAGCAAGTAATTGAATAGTAAATGCAAGAATCTACAAAGCTTGCCTATTTTTATCTCGATATGGTCATTGTTCAAATTGACTGACTGACAAACCTAAAAACTTACTATATTAAGACATTTTCAGCAACATTAATCTTCTGTGCTTATCAGGAGGATAACTGAACAACTAAATTTCGCGTTGATAACCATTGTAACCTGGTGTATTATCTGACTTCTGTCCCGGAGAATGATTTTTCAGGATAAGCAATTTGATGATTCTAATCTTTAATTTTATTTAAATTTACAGTGACAGACAGTTAATATCAACGGGGTATTTGTAAGTTGGAAGACTAAAATATACTTGACTTTGCTGATATGATTTTGAGTGAAAAATGAATGAGACGTTAGCAGATATATTGCTTAAATTTTATATCGTTTCGTTTTGATTTTGATTAAGACAATCTCTATTTACTTTTATTTTAACGAATAATAATAATTCGGTTATTAGAAGCATAACATAAAGCATTATATATTTAGCCACTTTGTCATTAGCTTGAGTTGAGCAAACGCGCACTCTTGAAACTTATAACCAGAAAACTTCCCAAAATGATGTGTCAGAAAAGTCATACGAATGTCGAGTTGAATTTGGAATGCTTTAAACTCAGCACTATTGCTAACCGGTCTGATACCTGTTTTTCTTTTATTTGTTCTTCTTGATATTTACGAATATCTTTTATCTGTTCAAAAGTCATTCCTTTGTAACGGTCAGGAATTATTCGATTAATTCCAAAGGCAGATATTGCTTGAGCAGGATTCTCGCTCAGAAAATCACCATATATTGCATTGCATATCTCTATCATATTGTCATCTTCTGTTTGTTTTGCTTTAAGAAGAGCTTTTTGATCGCTTTCTTCTTTTAATAACTTGTTATATCTCTGCATGGCTACATTTATTGCTCGTCGACATTCTTCCTCAGCTTTTTGAAGTTCACATGCACGTTGATCTAATTCTCTTCTTTTAAGATCATACAACCTAGATGTTTGCAAAGTTAAGATGAGAGAAATTAGGATATTTAACATTAAAAATCACCTCACTAAAATAGAAATGACCTAGTAGTTCTTTTTCCTTACCAACCAACATTTATTTAATAACGTGTCCGTTACTTCTACTGCATCAATTAACCAGTATTGTAGTAGGGTCTAGTTTATGTGCAGTTAACTTTAATTAGTAATATACATGCCAGAAGAAAGTAACTGCCCATTGTCCATACTTAGTGAATGTATATCTAATAGTCTATTGACAAATATAAAGATTTGGTTATTAGATGGTTTGTAATTAAGCAAAGTGAAATTATACACCGTTGATACTAAACTATATAATGCTGGAAATTGATATGGTTCAGGTTATCTGCTTACATATGTAGGCTTAGCAGGCAGGAAACTCCATAGCAACGCATATGTTTATAAGCATTCAAACACGTGGTTGTAAAGCAGTTAGTTTGATAGTGTTTATAAAAGAAGTAATTTCCATGAATAATCATCAACACACTGTACCCGCGTCACAAAGAGTTTTCTGGTAACTGCTATTGGTTATCAATTTTAATTTTAAGTTTCCGGAGTAACTACAGCCTATTTCACAAAAAGCAGCTGGGTAAATTGCTGTCGAACTCAGTCTGATTTTTTTTATTAAACACTTTATTTACTAACAGGAGTTAGGATCCTCAAATTAAAAAGCGCTTATTAGTTTATTTTTTATTTGGCTTCCCAACATCGACGAATTCTTGAGAGAAAAGATCCAGAACAACTTGAGTGCTGTAATAACAATGAACGTTATAATATAAATGCAAGACAAACCGATTGAATCGAATGTATGAAATAATACTACCTGGAAATTTGAGCTGACAATACAAGACTAAAGGGGAAAAGAGTCAAATCATCTGCTTAAAGTTTTTCTTTTTTTCTCAGAACTTCACTGAGCAAATATTTTGCAAAACATCAGGACTATTGGGTTATGTGATTATTTTGTAGGGAATGCTATTCAATTTTCGAGGCATGCTAAACAAATTGGTCCATAAAATGAGTAATTATTCATTTACTTTGCTTCAAAACACTGTTAGCTTAATAGAAAGCAAAACAAATGAGTTGACATGTTATATATCCCTATTTCAGACAATAAATATTTTGAAAAACAAGATCCAATACAGCATATGATCGTCGGATTCATTTTACTAAATTGTTTTCAGTTGTGTAATGGATTAAAATGCCTTACAAGTGTATACTTAAGGTAATCTTTTAAGTGTTTATCCATCTATCTATTTATTTATTTAACTGTTAACCATATATCGTTACTCTATCAATATATAAATATTTGGCACACGTTGACTAGGTGACAAATTGGACAGTTCGAACTCATATCAATAAGATGCCGAAAAGACCTGCATACTGTAATCATGGATATATTTCTGCTCCGATACAGTTGCTGGTAATTGTAGTGCCCGTTTGAACATAAATACAATGTAACTAATGAAAGGTCTACTTCTGATATTAAATCTGCATCACGATTACTTTATTTCTGTTGTGTTGGCTCAATTCTTTCATAGATCGATTGTACATGTCAGTCACTTTGTTTATATATATATATATATATATATATATATATATATATATATATATATATATATATGAAGCATTAAAAGTTTTTAACGATTGAAACAAAAAACAAGAAGCCTGCAGAAAGTTAAATTTGCGTTAAGATGCACTAAGAATTAACCAAAGTTAAAACACACAACTTTTTCTATGTATTCTAAATGCTTTTTGGTCCCTGGATGACTTCAGCTATATAGGTTTTATTTAGTGTTACGACAAATATGAACACCAGTTAAGTGCCACATATTCGGGTAAAAGACTAGTAAGTCTTCACTTCTCTCTAACATTCGTGCAGATGGTGTAAGTGGCTTATGAAAAAGTATTTACAAAATCAAACAAAATCCCTAAAAACCATTGAATTTACCAACTAAAGTATTCTAAATACAATTTCAGTACAATGAAGTGGACTTTAAACATTCAGGTGTACAGACATCTAAAAAGGTCATAAAAGATCACGTTTTCAGAACAAAACTCTCAATAATTGAAAAGCTGTTCAAGAGTGCTCACTCCTCGATAGCTCCTCGAAGAGCAATTATATTTATATTTACCTGTCTGCCTCTTTCTTAGCGTTTTCAGCCCTATTCCTTTCTTCTATCTGTCTGTCAAACCAGTTTTGTAGCTGTTCTCGTTGATACTTCATTCTAGCCTTTAGATTCAAGTCTTCACCATCAAACTTTTGAAGAGAGGCAACACCACATCGAGGGTCATCATCAGAAACACGAGCAGGACGGTCTAATTTCAATGCATTCGGATCGTAAAGATCAAATTCTCTTCTTGATTCAGGCTGTTGATGAATGGATCTGAATTTATTAAGATTCTTTGCGAGTTCTCTCTCATCGTCATGTTGTCGTTTCTCAAGTAAGCACGCAATTCGGTCGTTACGCGCTGCATCAGCAGCTAATCTTTATATAGTTAATCAGTTAGAGATTTACCATATGCTAAATCGCGTTGTTTCTCCACCAGCTCTCGAAGTTTCTTCTCCTCCAGCTGATGTTTAAGAGCTTCGTCATCAATCTGTAGCATGATGAAAGCATCATCAATGAACTTTTAACACTTACCCCAATTTGGCGAATACGGGGGTCGAAAATACGTTCTTGACGCTCTTTCTCCCTTCTTCTTCTTAGTTCAATCGCTGCAGCCTCTTTAGTATCTATTGGCAAATCAAGCTTATACATAAGTTTCGACGACCTCCAACTTTCGTACCCGTACCCACTCGGTTGTTATGGTAATGTGGTACACAACACCATCAGCAGCAGATTTCATGATTATGAATCGTCAGAATTATCTGCTTTTCAATACTCTTCACAAAATTTCTGTCATTAATAGTTGATATATTTGCTTGCTGCGTGGATTGCATCAATATAGTTATTCTTCATGTGGTTTATGGTCAACGATAAGTTTACACCCAACGAGCATGTCGTTGGTAAACATTACTTTGAAAGCTTGCCATATCCAGCAATATGTGGTTGTTTTTTTACATAAGGGGCTATGTAGTAAAATATAACAATAAAAAATATAAATACAATGTCGACTCACTGTATTCCTTGTTGACTTTTCATCTTTTCCAGTCATCCTGGAAAAGGAAACAAATTAACATGTAAGTGCGTGTCAAAATACATTCGTGATTACTCAAGGATGTAGAACGTGAAGAATCAACCCTGTATGTGAGAGTATGTATACCATGCGACAGCACGAACAATTATAAAACAATAAGGTTGCTTTGGTTTTTTTTCCGTGAGAAAATTAATAAACACATAAATAAGCACTTTAGAAAAAACGATATCTTTTGACGCGATTAAATAGGGCAACTTGGAATACAACCAACTATTTATGTGACGTGAAAAGCGATACAAAACAACAAATGTATACAATCTCCTAGGTGTACTAGTTGATCAAGTGTTACGGAAACCATACCGTTCTTTCAGAGCGCATTGTTTGGGTAAGACATCGGATACCAAAGGAGTTTTGTCGTCATGAATACCAAGAATGACATCGTAGTTGATGATGCAACGGATGTTCTAGTTTTACAACTAGATACCAGTAGCACCTTCTATATTTGATCGTTCCCAGTCAGATAGAAATCAGAAGTCAGACGAGAATAGGCTGGAAAGATATATTTGATTCGTTACCAATATATCGAGGACCTTTTCTATGAGCTGGCTAATGAAACGTAGGAGCTGTGTCCCACGCCGTGTTGAAACGTGATCTGGTGCGGATGCATGACCGAAAGCCTTCAGCTAAACAAGTCCACTTAAACACGTGGTCAGCATCCAATGTCGAACACTCAATGAGCTATTGATTTTGGGAAATTATTTACAGCTACAGATCACTCCCCCCCTAGTGAGGTAGTGATGCCCCTAAGACGTGACCAGCCAGAAGTTTAAACCCAACGAGTTTGTCGCTGGTAAACACTCTTCTGATAGCTTGCTTCGTTTAGCAGCATCTGGTCGTCTTTCCTTAAACTATGGGACCAAAATGTACAACATAGCAATAAAGAAATATAGTACAATGAAGATTTCGGTTCCTTGCGAAACTTCGTCGTTCTTTTCCAGCCGTCCTGGAAAAGAGGAAAAATAAAACGTGTGAGTGCATGTCGGAAATACACTCGTACTTGCTTAGGGACACAAGATGAGCGAAAAAAAATAAACTGATTCACTTACAAACAGCGTAAAAGCAATCAGGAAAAAAGTGTTTTTTTTTTGTTTTTTTTATATATAAAATATATATATATATATACGCTCAAAAAAAAGGATAAAAATGTTTTGTTTTTTTTTGGTTTTTTTTATAAATAAAAAATTATCATATTAAAATTTTTTTTATAATGAACTATGGAATGGTTATTCAAGATAAAGCTTATGTCCTACGTGCAATATTCGTTAAGATGTTCTGGAAATCTTACTCGTCTTCCAGAACGCGTTGTTTTAGGTTTTTCTATCGACGTTGACGAAGTATCAAGTTGTGTGTCGGTTGTCGTGTAGGGTACTACGAGTGTAGTAGCTGTGTCGTTTGCTTGTACCGAAGGAAAATTGACGTAGCTAGGGTTTCCTTCTAGGTACGCAGCTTTGAGTCGATCGATACTGATGCTATCTTTCGTACCGTTCTTATCAACTACATAATACTTAGGTTCGCGTTGAAGAACTTTGAAGGGTCCTTCGTATGCTGATTCGAGGGGTCGTCGATGTGAGTCTCGACGAACGAAGACGTGTGTACTATGTCGTAATTCGGGTTGAACGAAAACATCAGTTGATTGAGGTCGAGTGTGAGCAGGTTTAACTGAACGCATAGCGTTTGTAAGCCTACTCGTGTAAGAGTTTAGATCCATGTTCAATGAAGAAGCTGAAGGATCCACGAATTCTCCTGGGAGTCGGAGTGTCGTTCCGTAAACGAGTTGAGATGCCGTGTATCCAATGTCAGCTTTCACTGCATTGCGGATACCTAGCAAGACGAGTGGAAGAGCGTCTGTCCACTGTGAAACGTTTGAAGCTGATAATGAAGCTTTTAATTGTCGATGAAAACGTTCTACCAACCCGTTTTCTTGTGGGTGGTAGGCGGTCGTTCGGAAGCGCGTGATTCCTAAAAGTGTGGTCAGACAACGGAAAAGTTCAGATTCGAACTGGCGTCCGCGGTCTGTAGTGATTGTGGAAGGGCAGCCGAAATTTGCTACCCATCGTTCGACGAAAGTGCGGGCCACGGTTTCAGCAGTAATGTCCTTAATCGGTACTGCTTCTGGCCATCAAGTAAAACGGTCTACGCATGTTAGGAGATATGAGTATCCGTTCGAGTCGGGTAAGGGTCCTACCAAATCTAGATGGACGTGGTCGAAACGAGCGTCAGGGGTTTTGAAAGAACCTAAGGGACATTTGTTGTGTCTGATTACCTTAGATTTCTGACAGCTTACACAGGAGCGTGCCCACTCCCTCACGTCTTTATTCATGCCAGGCCAACAAAAGCGTTCGGCTATAAGTTCGATTGTTGCACGAGCACCTGGATGAGAAAGATTGTGCAACGTATTGGAGACGTTGCGGCGATAGTGTTTTGGTACAATTGGACGATCCCTACCTGTAGATGTGTCACAGAGTAAGGTTTCCTTACCTGTTCCCATCTGCCTAATACTTAGTTTAAGAGTTGTCGAGGATAACTCATGCTGAAGATCAGTGTCTTCTTTTTGAAGCTGAGCGAGTTTAAGAAGGTCGATTCCTTGGAAACTGTTCAAGGAATTTATTCCAGACAAGGCGTCTGCGACTACATTGTTAGCTCTAGAAATATGTTGTATGTCTGAAGTAAACTGCGAAATGTAGTCGAGACTTTCGCGGTGAGTACTTGTCTGAAGATGAATTTAAAGAGAAGGTAAGAGGTTTGTGATCGGTAAAAAGCGTGAATTCTCTTCCTTCGATGGAATGTTGAAAATGCCGTACAGCACAATACATAGCTAGGAGTTCCCTACCGAACGTGCTGTACCTAGATTCAGCGTCTAGCAACCGTCTCGAGAAAAATCCTAAAGGTTGCCACGAGTTGTTAACCCATTGTTGTAAGACTCCCGATTGCTGAGTCGGATGCGTCTACTGCGATACTAATGGACGCTTGACTGTCCTGACGAGGAAGCAAGGTTGCTTTAGCGATGTGTTCCTTAACTGTGGAAAATGCTTTACGGGCTATGTCGTCTAAACTAATTGATTTCGCATTTCCACGAAGCTGATCGGTTAACGGTTTCATTAGGGATGCGCATTTAGGTATGAACCGTCTATAGAAACTTACGAGTCCGTTAAAAGTTCGTAAGTGCTTGATCTTGGTCGGTTCTGGGTAATCCAGAATGGCCGCCACTTTGCTCCTAAGTGGTCGGATGCCTTGAGCATCAATAGTGTGTCCTAAGAAGTCTAAGCAGTTAGTTCCGATTTGGCATTTCTGTAGGTTGACAGTAATGCCATGCCTTTGGAGTCGATCGAAAACAATGTCCAGATGCTTGAGATGTGATTCTTTGTCCGGACTTGCTATTAGACAGTCATCAACATACGCATGTACGAAGTTGAGACCTCGGAAGACGTCGTCTATAAACCTTTGGAAGGTTTGAGCCGCGTTTCTTAAACCAAAAGGCATTCGCAAGAATTCGTAAAGACCGAAGGGAGTGATGATGGCGGTTTTAGGAATGTCGTCAGGTGCCATCGGGATTTGGTTATAAGCTTTAACCAAGTCGATTTTCGAAAAGACAGTTGTACCTTTCAAGGTAGCTGTCAAATCGTGAATATGAGGCAGCGGGTAACGATCGGGAATGGTTTTAGCATTCAGACGCCGATAATCACCAGTTGGCCGCCAATCATTGCTGTCTTTTTTAGGGACCATGTGCAATGGGGATGCCCATGGACTATTTGATGGTCGAATTATCCCTAGATCCATCATGTGGTCGAATTCGTTTTTAGCTAACCTAAGCTTCTCGAGAGCGAGTCTTCGAGCTTTCGAAAATACAGGTGGTCCTGTAGTCGAGATGTGATGTGTAACATTGCTGGTTACACAAGGCAATTTCGATTGCGATTGGTATATTCCGGGGTATTTGTCGAGTACTGATTGGTACAAGGGGTCTATGGTGTGGTTAATCGTGACTGGGGATAACCTGCAACCAGAACAAGGAGTTACGCTAACAGATAACTTAGTGTTTCCGTCTATTAACTTTCGTGAGCGTGTGTCGATGAGTAGATTGTGGTGTTGTAACAAGTCTATACCAATGATTGGCATAGAGACATCTGCAACCACGAAAATCCAGTGTATGGATTTGCGTAAACCCACGTTAAGGTAGACGTACCTTTTACCGTAAGTAGCGATCGGCTTTCCGTTTGCCGCCTGTAAACTTAAAACAGACTCGCGAAGTCTGTCGTCGGGATTTGCTGGAAGAACGCTAACTTCTGCGCCAGTGTCGACGAGGTAGCGAACTTCCGTAGTCACATCCGTGACGTATAACAGACAGCTGTGTTCGCCGGCTACGGTTGCCGTTAACGCGTGCCGGCTGGGAAGTTTTCCGAAATCTTATTCGTGTCAGTCGATTTTGAGGTCGGATAATTGCAAGGTTTCCTGCAATTTCTGGAAAACTTACCGTACTGGTTATGATACCAGCACCAGTCGGGATTGTCTGTCTCTCGTGGTCAAGAGCCAGATCGCTTACGTGAAACGCTTCTACGAGGGGTTTTTGACCGACTACGGTCATTGTGAACTCTAAGACATCGTGTAAGCGTGTGACATAGTTCGGCCATGTCAGTCGAGGTCGATTGGGGTTTTTCTTTGACGGAAAAAACCTCGGCCTTAGAAGATCTAGTGATTTCCAAGATTCGATCGGCAGATGCAGCTAGTTCATCTATGGCATTGTTTTGAAATGAAACAAGCACTGCCTGCACCTGTTGAGGGAGTTTAGACAAGAAAAGTTGTCTAAATAGGCCATCATCGAAAGTTCGTTGGCCGATGACTTCTCTCATTCTAAGCAACATGTCCGTCGCAGAACCATGTTGCAAGTCGATGTTATGGAAGAGTTGGTCTAACCGTTGTCGATCAGTTAGGTCTCCTCGTTTTAAAATCGATAGCTTAAGCGATTCGTAAGGTTCGGGAACATCACTAGTGAACATACTAGGTGTTACGTACCTGTTAAACTCGCGCGGTAACGCCTTAACTACCGCGAGGAAACGTGTGCGCGAGTCCGTAATTCCGTGCATGCTAAAATCGGCTTCTGCGTAGCAGAACCAGGACTCGATATTGTCGGGCCAAAATGGCGTTAACTGAATCGAAATAGGGGGAATAGACTTAAACTTAAGAACCTTAGGAGAGTGTTCCGTCATAGTAATATAGATATCGAAAAATGTCTAAGTAAAATATATCCGAGAAAAAAAAAGGTATATCACAATATATAAAATTCAAATAAAGAATAACAATGAATAATAATGTTCCAAAATGGAACAGACTCACAGTATATTGACTTGGTGTACCAGATCACGTCGGTCTCACCAATGATGATGCAACGGATATTCTAGTTTTACAACTAGATACCAGTAGCACCTTCTAAATTCGGTTGTTCCCAGTCAGATAGAAATCAGAAGTCGGACGAGAATAGGCTGGAAAGATATATTTGATTCGTTACCAATATATCGAGGACCTTTTCTATGAGCTGGCTAATGAAACGTAGGAGCTGTGTCCCACGCAGTATTGAAACGTGATCTGGTGCGGATGCATGACCGAAAGCCTTCAGCTAAACAAGTCCACTTAAACACGTGGTCAGCATCCAATGTCGAACACTCAATGAGCTATTGATTTTGGGGAATTATTTACAGCTACATAGTCATAAGGTTAGTATCGTCCGATTGTTCAGGGGGTAAGTCGACAAAATTATTTTCCTTCCAAGAAAGTGGCTTTAAGAAGTTAATCGTTGATGTTATCGTCAGTTCCGTTCTTATGGATGGTATAGTAATTAGGCTTGCAATAAAGGACTTTGAAGGGTCATTTATATTCAGTTTTGAGGACTCATTGTAATGAATCTTAACGTAAAATATCTTGTGTACAAAGTTATCAGACAGCTTTGGCGAGGACACCATCTAACAGATTTAACTGAATGCATAGTGCTTGCAAGCCTGTTGATGTAGGAGTTCAAATCCACATTAGTTCAAGCAGATTAAGAATTATTGAATTCTCCTGAGAGTCTAAGTCTCGCTCTGTAAACGAGTTTACTGAAGTGTATTCAACATCAGCTTTCCTGGATTTGGAATACCGAGTAATAAGAGTGAAAGAGCATCAGTCCGTTGGGCTATGTTTGCACGTGAGAGTGAATGTTTCCATTGTTAGTGAAATCGTTCTAATAATCCATTGGCTTTTGCAGGTAGACGACCGTTTGAAATCGCGTTGTTCCTTGTAGTGTAGTAAGACAACAGGAATACATAAACTCTAATTGGCGTCTACGGTCTGTAGTGATCTTTTGAAGGCAGCCGAAGTTTGCTACTCATCGTTCGACGAAGGCGCGGGCTACTGTTTCAGTGGTGATATCTTTGGTATGCATGACTTGTGGCCACCGCGTGAAACCATCCACACACAGCAAGAAATAAGAGTATCCATTTAAATCTGGTAAGCGTTCCACTATACCAAAACCAACACATAAAAAGTGGTGTGGGGAGTTGTGAATGAGCAAAAGGGACATTTATTGTGTTCAATCACATTGGATTTCTGGCAGCTTGGCGAAGAGTGCGCTCACTCTTTTACACCTTTACTCATCCAGGCCATCAAAATCGACCTACTATGAGCTGGATGATTACTCGAATACCTGAGTGCGAGGGTCGGTGCAACTTATCGAAGACTTTGCGTAGAAAATGTTTTGGGACGATTGTGCAATCCTTACTATACATTTGACACATGGTAAAGTTTCACTATCTCTTTCCATCTATTCGATTAATAGTTCTAGGGTTATCAAAGATAATTTCTGCCCTCTTTTCGAAACTGGGTGAGGTTAAGAAAGTCCATGTCTTGAAAACTGTTCACGAGACTTATACGGGACAAGGCATCTGTTCAAAGAGCAGGTGAAAGCTTTGTGATCGGTGAACAGAGTGGATTGTTGGCTTCCTACAAAGCGTTGTAAGTACATACTACATAATACATAACTAGACTTTCTCTACTAGAATTTCTATATCTCGAATCAGTATCTTGTAACCGTCTCGCGAATAATGGCAAAGGTCCTCAGATGTTGTTTACTCATTTATGTGAGACTCCTCTGATTAACGAGTTGGATGTGTCTACTGAGATACTAATGGGTGCTTTGATGCCCCTGCGTATGAGCATAGTTTCTTCAGCTGTAACTCCCTTAATCGTGAAGAATTTTTGTTTGGTGTTATCGTCCGAATAGGCGATTTTCGCATTTATACGAAGTTGGTCGGTTAAGAGTCTCATGAGAGACGAGTAATTCGGTACGAATCGTCGATAATAATTCTAGTTTCACTGTTAACTAAGTTCAGGGAATAATTGGACTGATATGATTATCATTTCAAAAAATTTCAATGTTAAAAATTTTAGTTAACATCCTTTTGTCATCAATAACTTTTGCACTCAAATATGGATTTACTCCTCTGATCATCTCAGATTAACAAAATACAGAGTATTTTATAATGGCAATTTTACGTTGTTATCACTATAATTACACCCCTAATCCCACGACTTTTCTATGGATCATTTTATATACACCATTTTCCCGGTGTCTGAATAGTTGGACCAATCTGTACCAAGATTTAAATGTGATTTCTTTTTGCTGGAACTCATGTTCTTTGGTAAGATCGTTTTTACGACAGATTTCAATACCTTATTTGCGATCTAAAAACACGATGTAGTGTCCGGCACTGTTTCAAGTCCACATGGCTTATTCGAGCTTCCGGACAGACCGAAAACTTTATTCTTCTTGACTCATATTTTGAGCTTGTCGATTGTTCGCTCATAACCTTCACTGATTTTATACGAGCGTATTCGTGTCCATCGCTTACCCTTTTCATCATTTGTCTTTAGTTTAGTTTTTCTATCCATAAATATTGAAACACGTTTTTTCAAATAGAGTTGTTATGTTTTCTCTCTCCGTTCTGCTTTCCTGCTTCGTTTCTCTAATTGTCTGGTTGAATCAACGAGTGTATGAAATATACGCAACCGAAATTCATCCTCGTATTTGGTTTATTTTATTCTGTTACTTCACTAACGTGAATTAAATCTATATTTATATACGATGGTAACCCAGATGTATATTTCATTAACATCATAGTTCGATCAAGCTAGAGTCAAATAAGTGGGCCACAAAAGCTATAAGAGACATTTTAAACTAAAACGCTAACGTAATGATTTTATATTTCAATACTTTAAACTAAAATTAAGCAATAAATTTATCAAAACTAATATTTGTAGTAAAAAATACACATTATATTTCTCCATTTATGAGTAATGCAATCTAAACACCTTTATAAATATTTAACAAAAGTAACAAAACTTTTAACCTTAAATCATATTTTTGTTAAAGTGAACAAAATATGTTAAACACAGATCGCTTTTCCTGAATTTTCTTGATCTTTAACTTGAATATTAAAATTTTGACACATTTTAATAAGCACTGAATCGGCTTCACATTTTAGGTCCTCAAAAGCTGGTGAAATGCATTGAGTCAAACGTACAATACAACTTCGAGTTTGTTTACATAATTTTCTCATTTCGTTGATTGTGTTTAGGTTGGCTTTGAATGATCTAAATTTTTGTATGTCATTCTTCGAAACTTAAAAAAAGAATAACTTTTAATTAACATTTGTTGACATTATTTTGAAGTGAAATAATGGAGATTATTATCGTTTAATTAACAAATTTTCAAATATTCTGAATTTTTTAAATAAGTTTAGCATGATAAGATTTTAGGAATAAGTACTTTGATCATAAGAAAACAAATTCTTATTCGCCTTATCACAAATGTAAATGACTCCCCGTACCATCCGTTCGCCAACTGGCTTGTCTAAAAATATTGTCATAATTCTTTGTACTCTTCTTTTCTTATCCTAAGTTGATAGTATACGACGAGTCTTTACAACATTACTAACTTAAACTACAGCATTTTTGCATGTTACATAATTTGTGACAAAACAATTGGCTTTTTTTAAGAATCTTATTGTGGTGAACAGAACACTAATTGGGGACTAATCGAAGGTACTTGAGCACAAATTACAGACTATCTCACTAAATTCTGATAACCATACAATGAACAGTTAATTTGCAAATTAACAACCACTTGTCCTAATATTAACTTTTCCTTCTGTAAATATCAATTCATCTTCTTTAATTCCATTGTTAATGAATTTTCTCACCAATTGCGCTTCATTTTAGTTCTTTCCCTATCCGTTTTCTGCCAAAATACATTTTATGTCTGACCATCTCCATATACTACTGATATGGATATAAGTAGACCACACTACATTATTAATTCTCTTTCAGTTCATTATTTATATGAATGTTTATTATTACTGTCAGAGTTCGTTTGACCCGTAAGTAAATTCAAACTACACTGTATATTTACGAAAACAAAATAATTTTACCAATAAATTTTTAATGTTAGTAAACTTGTTTGCTTTAAACTTGGCAATTCTTTATTGTTCATTAATTTAAATTTATAACTATTAATTTGATGCGACTTTATTAAAAACATATTCTTCGTTCATATTTGGTCAATATTTTTAATTGTGAGTTATTCACTCCGTTCAATGGATTCATATTCACAGTGGCAGATGCCAACTGGATGGAAAGGGAAAAATCAAACATAAGTTACTTTTCATGTGATGGCAAATTACATTATGATGATAAAGTACTAAGTTTGTGAATCCAACAGCTCACCAGTTATCTGCTTTCACGACACGACTATAACGATTGTTGACAATATAGTAATCTGAAGAAATATGACGAGACAACAAATGTAATTCGTCAATACTAGGTTTGTTAATGTCCGAAAATGCTAATTATTTATTTTAAGTGACAAAGACAAAAGTTATGAAGCTCCAACTTGTTAGAATTAATTTTCAAAAATCTTAGAGGTGTATACAATTAAGAACGTCAATAGTATTATCAAATTGTATGATCAATATTCCCCTTCTTTGGAAGGACTCTTTTTAAGTTGTATTTAATTCGCTATACATAACATTTGTATCTGCGACGATGACTACTGGAGTAATATCAAGTTTTAAAAAAAAAATATTTTTCTTCACTTCTACAAAGGCATTATACACTAGATTTGCATTTACTTACATATAAACTCATCATTATTCGACAATCACTGACTGTATGAAAAAGTACTCATTAGTTTTTATATTATCATTTATAAAATGTATGTAGATAACTGAATAGTAACTTACCATATTCATTTTTTCCTAGTGCATAAAGTAGACAGCTTTCTTCCATGTAGGGTAAGAATTCGCATGAATCACTTTGTACCAAACAACAAGTTTTAGTATTAAGGAAAGAGAATATAATATTTACAATGATCAGACTAAAAATATTAAATATTGAAGACATTTTCAATGAAAACTACAGCTCTGGTTGTGGTATATATACATATATATATGCATTATAAGGTTGCTCATTACTATGTTTTTCTATGTATGTCATTACAGAATAATTTCTTTCGTTTGTAGAGACTTATTGTTGCCATGACGTGAAATTTAATGGTGGGGAAATAAGTAAAGCATGGAATATTACATCATAGAGTTATTTGAAGACTTATTTTATTTAATCATTTTAATTGACGTGAATTTGAACAAAATAATAATGACGAAATGAAATTCAGTTAGTTACAAATGGCAATTATATGAATAATATTCAATATGTCATTAACAAAATTACATGTTAACTATTGAATAAATGATTGACAATAGAATTCTATATAATGCCTAATTTATTCCCAATATATTTCTTAGTAATAAATGCCTGATTACTAAAATATTCTACTTTTTATATAAATGAAGGTAGAAATTCCTATAGATTGTTTATTTCCAAGACATTTTCACTACTAGCTAAATACTTTTGCTAATGAGAGTGAAAACTTATTCTCAACCGGTTTGACTTTGAACACTGAGCAGTATTACAATTAGCAAGTGCGCAAGACATCATGGGCAGTTTCTGTTTGCTAAACCTGATATATATCTTAAACCAGTGAAAATGACATTTAAAAAGCATTAAGCATCATACAGATGAGTAGATAATTTGAAATGAATTGAAGCGTACAGTTTAGTTATTTACAACATCTTATATTCACTATTCAATATAATATAAAAGAAGCTATTATATCAAAGGCTAGAAATGTGGTCAATAAAAAACAATTTTATACGTTTTACCAACGTAGAGACCAACTATTTAAAGAAACATGTTAGAAATTTTCTGTTGGCTTTTGAAACTTTCGCAACTTGTATTTTAAAAAATTCTAAATAAAAAAAAATAGAAAGTAGACACTAATAAATTCTTAGCTAAGTCAATACTATAAAGTATTTCTATTAGTCATCTTGGAATTAAATTCAACTTTCCGTTTTCTTGGAATCATAACTGATAATATATTCATATACATTTCACCCTATATTGTATTATTATTCAGCAAGGTCTTGTATACATAGATAGACCAAAACCATAAATAAATTGATCAAATCAATAGTTTTAATAATTTCAACTTCATTTATTAAACTTATCACTTTGTTTAATGGTACCATTGAATAAACTTAGAAGAAAGAAACAATAATAACTTACTGTGTATTGTTAATTTAAATAATAACCACTAGGTCAAATGAAGTTGTTAGGTTGAGAATACATATCGTTTTGTACAATAGTCTAAACAGTTCGTAATGGTCGTATTAAAAATGTTATTAATAAGAGGTAAATTATTTTATTGTTCAAATAAGTTAGCCTTTTTCTAAAAATCGATCATGAGAAGTAAACATGTTATAACCATACATTAATATCTGGAAAATATTTCTCATGACAAGTCAAAAACAGTTACTGTTCATTGTTTTAATATCTGCTTCCAAATCCCGACGTACAGTATTCCTCGGCCTTTCTCCTTTTCCGTTTCCCTTAAGGATTCCAGGTAAGCCTTCTCCTTATGACGCATCATGGTGAAAGCTAATATTCTTAGTAATTCACGAGACTGATGCCCCTTCTGACAACCCAAACAACAACTGATACAGGTACATGTGATTTCCGCGCAATGCAGGAGACCAGAAGAATCATTTGCTTAGGCACGAAAACGAGGAGGTACAACTTGGCGGTTCCCGAAGTAAGTTGAACATAATAGACCCAAGCTAGACAGAAAATATTACATCCATGTGGAATGCTATTGCACTCTGATCATGAAGAAAAAATACCTACCATACACAAGTAGTTGCACTGGTCCTGTCCAGAGAAGCACAAAAAGTACCTATAGGGTGGCAATATTATGGATTCAGGATAGTCAAATCATACTTCAAAACAAAGGAGTGGATCATAATGAAGTATCGAAAAACAGCACAGCATATAATAAATAGTAAAACAAAATGATACTGTAAAATGAATCCAAGCTTAACGGGAAATAAATTTACGTTATTGGTTATATAATGACAGCCTCTGTTACGATATCACAGGCGGGGACAAGCACATGCACTTCAATTTACCATTGCATAATCACGTCGTAAAATCTGGGAACCATCTAGTAAATACTTTATTTTCAAAACATCAATCAATTAACTCTGATTTTGTTGTTCCTTCGTCTCTATATCAACCACTCTCTGTTCTCGTTCTCTTCTCTTCGATTTTCTCAATACTCTACCTCCAGGCATTCCACTTTTGATTACTGATACATACTATTTACATCTTTCGACTTACTTTTACCTCGAAAAACAATTTAGATGTGCCATACATATACAATGTATTGAATCACTCATCGGAACCTTTTATTCAAACAATAGATTTTCAGATATAAAACTTAAAAATGAATAGCTTTACCCTTTTTTGATTGAAAGGAAATATTTAATTTAAGTGATGTATAATGATCAAAAAGACTTAAGTAAACGGTATACCTTGATTATAGTTGATGATTAAAAATCTCGGGTCGAAACCTTTTATAATTGTTCTTAAATGGATAACATTCAATTTTTATAATTGATTTCAAGTAAGATTTCCCCATATGTCTCAATTATGCACGAATAATTTCAGTACTTTAGACAATTCCTAAGATTTTTTCACAGTTCCAAACCATTGAACACATAATTTATCGATAACTCAATGAAGAAATTAAAATTATCAAAATAAATAATGCGAAAGCATATTCTTTGCATATGCTCAATTAGTTTCTATACATTAAATATATTACTATACGTAAAGTTGGAAATGGATGGGACATACATGAAGGAAATCCCCAATGTGCATTAGAAGGTAAGCCCTAACTTGGAATCCGGAAGAGAAGCGGAAAAGAGGAAGGCCAAAAAACACACCACCCCGGGAAATAGAAGAAGATATGAAAAAAAAGAATAACAACTGGAAGGGACTGGAAAGGATTGCCCTGGACAGAGTTGGATGGAGAATGCTGGTGAGAGGCCTATGCTCCTTCACGGTGAAGGGTAACAGGCGTAAGTAAGTAAGTAAGTAATGTTAAGTTATATTAAGTTTCTACGGTTGCTGCATTTGAGGGAAAAAATATGTTCTCTATGTGTTTTATATCAATTATTTAGACATTTAATTATTGTCTTTATCATATAACTTTGATATTAAATCAATAGAGAATGTAATAAATAATGATCAACATACAATAGAAGTTAAGATACAAAACAACAAATTTGAAAATCTACATTCATGTTAATATAGAAACAAAATAAAAGTCCAGTGCAAAAAAAAGAGAACAAATTTTTACCTGATACATACGTCGATTTTTTGGTAAACTTTAACACATGTCTGTATGCCGGTCATAATGTAATTCAGGATAGAAATAAGAGATAAAACTTGTAAACTTTATTGATTGTAGCCCAATCTTTTTTCTTTACTGTATTACTTTTCTTGTTTCAGTATGGTTATTATTCATGTTTATTATAAATAATTTTTTTTAAATTTATTAAACATGTAATGTTCCTGCCTGATGAGATACCCTCTTCTTCTTCTTTTTTTTCAATAGACTGTATCTAATCTTAATTAGGAAATTTCATGAACTACACTTTTATTTATCCGACAGATAGAAAAAACTGAAATAGTTAGATACTTGTTATTTTGTTGTCTGTAAATAAAAGGGAGATATCAACTTAGAAGCTTGTTAAAGAAAGAGTCAATTAATTACTTGTCAAGAGCTTATGATCAATGAATACTGAATATTATTAGGTTTACTAATTTGTATAATCAGAAGGGGTTTTGTGGAGATTTTAGTAATTTATAGAGTTGAGATCATGAGTCAATTGAAGCTAGACCACCATGGAAAACCTGGAAGCACTGGACGGCCGTTTCGTCCTATTATGGGACTCCTCAGCAGTGCGCATCCACGAACCCGCTCTCGCGAGCGAGACTCGAACCCAGGACCTACCAGTTTCGAGCCGAAGCCCTTAACCGATAGACCACTGTGAGATAGTAACTCACTGATGACATTGGTGAATGGTTGCTCAATTTCGTGAATCATTTGAAGTTAGACATTAACACCGTTGGATGCCAGCTCAGTGGTCTATCGGTTAAGGGCTTCGGCTCGAAACTCATGATCTCAACTCTATAATTTGTATAAGATCAAATAATTACTAAAGTTTTAAGACTAAGTAAATAAAGATATCTAAACAAGTGAATGAACAAATGAATTAAACGAAATAACTTCTTATAAAATAAACAACTTTATTTATAGTATAAAATGATTTTTTTAAATGAACTTTACCATCTGATATATCGTTTTTTTATAATTTTGTGGTTTTATATATGGTTCCAAATATTACGTATTCGTTTCGATATTTTCTTACTAACCTTACTTACTTACTTACGCCTGTTACTCCCAATGGAGTATAGGCCGCCAACCAGCATTCCCCAACCCACTCTGTCCTGAGCCTTCCTTTCTAGTTCTATCCAGTTTTTGTTCATTCTTCTCATGTCTGTCTCCATTTCTTGGCGTAATGTATTCTTTGGTCTTCCTCTTCTCCTTTGGCCTTCTTACTAACCTACTTAGTTTCATTTTTTGGTTTGATATTTGCAATCTTTGGCAACACTATAATTTATAGACAAGCCAACCAAGTATAAGATGACAGGTCTCGGAATTTTGGTGCGAAATTCACTCATCCACTTGGCTAAATAGAGTTTTGGCATTATAGCTAATGTCAATCCGTGATGAAAACCTTAAATCTAATTCCTAACCTTAACCATTAACTGTAAATCATAATTCTAATTCCTCACACAGGTTTATAACTCTCCTTTTGGTCTTAGTTATTAGGTGAACACTCTCAAGGTCAATCTAGAGTCTCTCAAATGTCGTCCATAAATTATAGTCTTATCCAGTCTTTATTATTGCTCAAAACTTAACACATCAACTATTTGTTTCAT